GGAAGGTATCGTTAGAAAGGTGATTCCTTCTACTTTCCTAAAAAAAATAAAGCTTACTACAATTTTATAACAACGTCCATGTCGGGATTCGAACCCACGACACAGCAAATCTCAACAGAACTACTTAGGCGACTCGACCACAGCTTCGATGTGGACGGGTGGTATACTGTTGTTAATACTACTGAACGTAGGATAATACGTAGATCTCTTTTTGCTGTTGTCAACATTGAAAATGGACACAAAATCGGTTACGTTAATCTCATTGATTTAACCCCTTAGACAGTGTGTTACAGGTCAACGTATGTAGGCATGTTTAAGAAACTACATATTCGCAACTATTTTGGCATTTATACTAATAATTGTACTTTTATTTTTAATTTGTATATATTTAAATTCTATAAATTATCCTATAAATTTATTGATTTATGTTAATATTTGTATAATTCCGTATTTATTTATTTTTATTCCGTATTTATGAATTAAATTTTTTGTACTGATAATTATGTTTATATTTCATTTAATTATTATATACAATTTTACTGGTAATTTATTTTATTTTAATGTGTTTATTTATTTTTATCATTACAGTTTTACGCTTGCATATCTATATTTTTACGTTAATTTATATTCGTGTTTTTATATTTTTATTTACGGTTTTATGTACAGTTATAATATTTTTTATATTTTTTGTACTTATATTTATATTTTCATTTTATTTATTTTTATACTTAAACTAATACCTTTTTACATTTTTATTTATTTTGTTGTTAAATTTAATAATTTTTTTGTATTGTAATACCAACACCACGTTATTTTACACATGCTGGTATCACTTCATTTTTTTTATCCATTTGCATTTATGCGGCATGTTCTATCTAAAAAGCAAAAATGCAAAGAATGTGTGAACCGTTACTTTTCGCACGTACCATTGTTGTTGTGTGTGTTTCAAGTTGATCGTTTGACAAACAACCCTTTTTTATGTTCCCACGAAAAAAATGTTTATTTTACTTTTACAATTCTGGTTCACCGTCGATGCGAGCAAGTGATAGCTCAAGTGGCAGAGCGGTTGTGTTTTCGTGACCTGTGTCGCGGGTTCGAGCCCCAGTCAAGGTTTAGTTTTTTTAAATATATTTTTTTTTTGAATATGTTTTTTATTAAAAAAATATTTTTCAAAGCAAGTACAGAAGTTCTATTATTGAAGTTTATATGTTGGTTGTACTTACTTATATGTATGACGTTTTAACGGTATGCAAGTTATTTGTAACTGTTACAGTAACCTTATGTTGTATAACTTATTCTGCAAAAAATTTTCGTTAATAAAAAAAAAAATAAAAAAAAATCCTATTTAAAAAAAGATGAATAAACACATCATGACCGGGGCTCGAACCCACGACACAGGTCACGAAAACATAACCGCTCTACCACCTGAGCTATCACTAGCCCGCAGCGATGGTGAACCAGAATTGTAAAAGTAGCATAAACATTTTTTCGTGGAAACATAAACAAGGGTTGTTTGTCAAACGATCAACTTGAAACACACACACAACAACAATGGTACGTGCGAAAAGTAACGGTTCACACATTCTTTGCATTTTTGCTTTTTAGATAGAACATGCCGCATAAATGCAAATGGATAAAAAAAATGAAGTGATACCAGCATGTGTAAAATAACGTGGTGTTGGTATTACAATACAAAAAAATTATTAAATTTAACAACAAAATAAATAAAAATGTAAAAAGGTATTAGTTTAAGTATAAAAATAAATAAAATGAAAATATAAATATAAGTACAAAAAATATAAAAAATATTATAACTGTACATAAAACCGTAAATAAAAATATAAAAACACGAATATAAATTAACGTAAAAATATAGATATGCAAGCGTAAAACTGTAATGATAAAAATAAATAAACACATTAAAATAAAATAAATTACCAGTAAAATTGTATATAATAATTAAATGAAATATAAACATAATTATCAGTACAAAAAATTTAATTCATAAATACGGAATAAAAATAAATAAATACGGAATTATACAAATATTAACATAAATCAATAAATTTATAGGATAATTTATAGAATTTAAATATATACAAATTAAAAATAAAAGTACAATTATTAGTATAAATGCCAAAATAGTTGCGAATATGTAGTTTCTTAAACATGCCTACATACGTTGACCTGTAACACACTGTCTAAGGGGTTAAATCAATGAGATTAACGTAACCGATTTTGTGTCGATTTTCAATGTTGACAACAGCAAAAAGAGATCTACGTATTATCCTACGTTCAGTAGTATTAACAACAGTATACCACCCGTCCACATCGAAGCTGTGGTCGAGTCGCCTAAGTAGTTCTGTTGAGATTTGCTGTGTCGTGGGTTCGAATCCCGACATGGACGTTGTTATAAAATTGTAGTAAGCTTTATTTTTTTTAGGAAAGTAGAAGGAATCACCTTTCTAACGATACCTTCCATATACGCGTATCCTTGTTTGATCCTGAGATATAGGCCAAAACATATTTTGTCCTTTAAAATCGTATTTTTCGATGATAAATTTTTTTCTCAAAATTTCTACAATGAAGTGCTTAGATCAGTACATATTCGGAAAGTAGAAGGAATCACCTTTCTAACGATACCTTCCATATACGCGTATCCTTTTTGATCCTGAGATATAGGCCAAAACATATTTTGTCCTTTAAAATCGTATTTTTCGATGATAAATTTTTTTCTCAAAATTTCTACAATGAAATGCTTAGATCAATACATATTCGGAAAGTAGAAGGAATCACCTTTCTAACGATACCTTCCATATACGCGTATCCTTTTTTGATCCTGAGATATAGGCCAAAACATATTTTGTCCTTTAAAATCGTATTTTTCGATGATAAATTTTTTTCTCAAAATTTCTACAATGAAATGCTTAGATCAATACATATTCGGAAAGTAGAGGGAATCACCTTTCTAACGATACCTTCCATATACGCGTATCCTTTTTTGATCCTGAGATATAGGCCAAAACATATTTTGTCCTTTAAAATCGTATTTTTCGATGATAAATTTTTTTCTCAAAATTTCTACAATGAAATGCTTAGATCAATACATATTCGGAAAGTAGAGGGAATCACCTTTCTAACGATACCTTCCATATCCTTTTTTGATCCTGAGATATAGGCCAAAACATATTTTGTCCTTTAAAATCGTATTGTTCGATGATAAATTTTTTTCTCAAAATTTCTACAATGAAATGCTTAGATCAATACATATTCGGAAAGTAGAGGGAATCACCTTTCTAACGATACCTTCCATATACGCGTATCCTTTTTTGATCCTGAGATATAGGCCAAAACATATTTTGTCCTTTAAAATCGTATTTTTCGATGATAAATTTTTTTCTCAAAATTTCTACAATGAAATGCTTAGATCAATACATATTCGGAAAGTAGAGGGAATCACCTTTCTAACGATACCTTCCATATACGCGTATCCTTTTTTGATCCTGAGATATAGGCCAAAACATATTTTGTCCTTTAAAATCGTATTTTTCGATGATAAATTTTTTTCTCAAAATTTCTACAATGAAGTGCTTAGATCAGTACATATTCGGAAAGTAGAAGGAATCACCTTTCTAACGATACCTTCCATATACGCGTATCCTTTTTTGATCCTGAGATATAGGCCAAAACATATTTTGTCCTTTAAAATCGTATTTTTCGATGATAAATTTTTTCTCAAAATTTCTACAATGAAATGCTTAGATCAGCACATATTCGGAAAGTAGAAGGAATCACCATTCTAACGATACCTTCCATATACGCGTATCCTTTTTTGATCCTGAGATATAGGCCAAAACATATTTTGTCCTTTAAAATCGTATTTTTCGATGATAAATTTTTTTCTCAAAATTTCTACAATGAAATGCTTAGATCAGCACATATTCGGAAAGTAGAAGGAATCACCTTTCTTACGATACCTTCCATATACGCGTATCCTTTTTTGATCCTGAGATATAGGCCAAAACATATTTTGTCCTTTAAAATCGTATTTTTCGATGATACATTTTTTTCTCAAAATTTCTACAATGAAATGCTTAGATCAGCACATATTCGGAAAGTAGAAGGAATCACCTTTCTAACGATACCTTCCATATACGCGTATCCTTTTTTGATCCTGAGATATAGGCCAAAACATATTTTGTCCTTTATAATCGTATTTTTCGATGATAAATTTTTTTCTCAAAATTTCTACAATGAAATGCTTAGATCAGCACATATTCGGAAAGTAGAAGGAATCACCTTTCTGACGATACCTTCCATATACGCGTATCCTTTTTTGATCCTGAGATATAGGCCAATCCTGAGATATTTTGTCCTTTAAAATCGTATTTTTCGATGATAAATTTTTTTCTCAAAATTTCTACAATGAAATGCTTAGATCAATACATATTGTATTGTATTAGTATTTCATTTACTAGGAGATAATAATTTCGTAAATCAAACAAATGACTAAGATTAAAAGTCTAACACGTTGAAAAACGTTTTTATTATAACCTAGAAAATCGTTTTTATTTTCCGCTCATATACAAAAACGTTTTTGAACTGTTATACACTGTTATACAACTGAAAGTGTTCGAAAATTAAAAACGTTTTTATCTTCACGCACATGCAAAATTTCAGGGTTCTAGCCGTTTGATTATCAGACAGGTATATGGGAATCTCTATTAAGTGTATTGGCCCTTTGGCCCTTTCAAAATTTCAATACTTTTCACGACAAAACTTAAAACTAATTTTTCAAAAAATGAAAATTGTTCCATGGTGTACAATTTTGGTTTTATTGAATTCTATCACTTTCTTCTCAGAATGCATTTTCAATATTTTTGTTTTTTATTCCAAAAACCACTAAGCTTATAAACAATTTCAATATCAATCCCATACGCATTGAAAGACAATTCAATTTATTTATAATTTACAATTTTTTCTGCTTAATTTCATTGCAGCTTAAGAAATACAACTCCAGGAAAGAGAGAAGCCCATCATCCTGAAAAGTAAGCAAAAGAACACAGTGAACGCAGGACGGATTCATTCATCAAGCAATCGGATATTGCGTTGAACATCCACAACAACAACAACAAATTAAATGCGAAAAACGCATTTTATTGGGATTACAAAAATAACAAAACAAAAATCGGTTTGGCAACAACGACTTCATTTCATAAACAACAAAAACGACAACAAGAACAACAACACCCTTTGCTGTCATCAAAAACAAACAGCAGCAACATCATCATCACTAACCACAGCAAAAACAGTGGCCATTTGGAAAAAGTGTCGCTGTTTAAGAAAAAGAAGAAAAATTCAAAATTCATGGTTTGGCTTTTCTAACGTTATTCAACATAATCCCAATTTACAAAATACCAACAACAAAAACAACAACAACAAAGTATCTTAAAACTTCTTCATCCATCATCAAAATTTCTTTGAATGTCATCAAGTGCATCTGCCAGAGCAACGACATTTTGGTTTATGTGACATTTGGTTTTCATGTAAAGCAAAGAAATTATTCACTTCAGCATTTATACAAAATTCAAAAATTCAAAACGCAACAACTGCGAAATCGTCAAAAACAACAACAACAACGTCATTACATTTTTGGCTATACCCAAACGGCAATTATTTTTCTGTTAAAACAATCAAATTTATTCGTCGATTTATTTGTTTTTCTAATTTGTTAAATCTTCAATAAGGTGGTCTTTGCGATCCACTCTACGTACCTAACAACCAATCAACACATACCCCCCACATCGCAGCATCATGGATCCCCAACAACAGTTTTGTTTGAAATGGAATTCATATTCATCAAATTTGGCCATAACATTTTCAAATTTATTCAAATCGGATTTGCTGGCAGATGTTACACTATCATGTGATGGTAAGTAGATCATGTTTTTGTGTCATATTATTAAAATTTGTCAAAATAAGGATAGCGAAGGAACCCTAAACTTTTATGAAATATGAAGCATACTTTTAGGATGAGTTTAATATATTTAATATATCTAATCTAATAATAACTAATATCTGCTCGAACCTAACAATTAAATTTTTTAATACATACAGTCTAAATTTTGGAAAATATTGCATTCTTCTAGGCATATTTTGTTCAAAAACGTAAAATCGTATAATTTACTAAATTCATTCGAATAGCATTTGATCACCAAAAAAATAGGATCCTTTACCTTTTCAAAAATAGTTCGGATTTATTGAAGTATATTTTTAGACATTAATTATATTTATGACACAATTTTGTACTTCCAACAAGTAAGAAAAAGTCAAAAGTCGGGCGGGCTTGATTATGATGTAGGGAAATAAATATGTGTATTAAGTAGAGCTCCCATAACAATAAAATTTATTTGAAGTAGATCATACCACCTATCAAAATTTGGCTGTAGAGAAGTTATTGTTTGGTTTCACAGCTAATATATGGGAGACATATGCAATTCTGAATCGATTTTCAGTAAATTTGACGGGGATATTTTAATCTTTTATGCCAAATAACATTACTATAGAGTGCCTGATATCACTTCGAGAAGGAATAAATTTAAAAAAAATATATATCGGAGCCGAGTTTCACAAAATGGAAACCTACGTCCCGAAAGCCGCTCCATTTGGGCTAATATTAGCCATTATATTCACAATAAACCTGAAATCGGATTAAGGATATATATGGGAGCTATATTCAAATCTGAACCAATATTGATAAAATTTAACAAGTATTTTTGGGCTGTATCTCACATCTGGTACCAAATATCAATATTGTCGAATGCATATTACGAATGTGAGGGACTTAAATACCAAATCGGATGAAACATATATATGGGAGCTATAGCTATATCTCAACCGATTTTCATATACTTGCTTCTAGATTGAATTCGGTCGGATGTACCAAAATTCAGGACTTTCGGACTGATTTTGGCCATTTAGTGCACAATAAACCTGAAATCGGATTAAGGATATGTATTGGAGCTATATCTAAATCTGAACCGATCTTGATAAAATTTAACGTAGGTATTTTTGAGCCTCATAAGGTATCTGGTACCAAAAATCATTCTTGTGGAATGCATATTACGCATATGAGGGTCTTTAGCACCAAATCAGATGAAACATATATATGGGAGCTATAGCTATATCTGAACCGATTTTCTCCGAAATCGTTGTACTTTCTTCTAGACTGAATTCGGTCGGATATGCCAAAATTCAAGTAATTTGAACTGGTATTGACCATGTGGTGCAGAATTAACCTGAAATCTAAATCTGATCCGATTATCACCAATTTTTATAGCATTCGTCCTTGGGCCAAAGGAATATTATTTGGAAAATTTCTTCTCAATCGGATAATAAATGCGACTTGCATTTTGTTCACAAACGTACATGTACAGACGGACGGACAGATGGACTGACATGCAATCGACTCAGAAAGTTATTCTATGAAGATCCTCAAAAGTAACCATGGGTCTATCTCTCTTCCTTCTCCATGTTACAAACAAATGCACAAAGACATAATACCCTTACAACTCAATGTGCTGTAGAGTATAAAAACATTGCATACCTTTAGGAGTTTATGGGCATACTCTTTGGTAATTTGCCTGCATTTTGCCTAATCTTTATGGTTGTATGCCTTTGTATATATTTAGGATATAATGATTCTGTTTTAGCAGAATAAATGCAAGAAATCTTTTACAAAACTTCCTTTTGTATTACTTTTATCAAATTCTTGGAATTTTCTTAAAAAGATTGAATACTTTTAGTAGTTTTGTAATGGGGTAATGGACTGGAATGCGTTGGATTGAGAACCGTAATTATTTTTCTATATTTCCCAAAAAAATGTACCCCTAGCGAAATGCTACAGCAATGAGATTCAAGTATTGAATCTTTAGCTAAATTTTGGATTTTTTCAGTTCACTCTCATCGTCACACTCAAAATCGCTGAATTATATTTTTTACAATTATTATGTTTATCCACCTGTTTCCTACAATGTTCAACGGTAAGAGTTGGCCATACCCTTTTCAAAACTTAATAAAAATCAAAAGTGTTGCATATTTTTAGGCCGCATCTTTCCTTTAATACCAAATTAATTTTATTGAAGATTCATGTTTACTCTGGCCTCTTCAACTTTTCCCTGTTTTAATATTTTTTGACACAAATCACAATAGCTTTAAAAAAAATGGTTACAGGCCGAAAACAAAAATCTAATAAAAAATACCTGACCTAACATAAGATTATATTATATTCAGGAGAAGAATACAAAAACGACGACAACAAGAAACCCAATAATAATGACGTGACGCCGTTGTAGACACAATCTTGATGTTTCATTTGATTTCTTTTTCGTTTTTTTTTTTTTTTTTTGTTTGCCTTTGCATTATTGTCCCTTTTATTTTCTCGTGTGTTTCAAAGGTGCCGGCAAAGGAATGGTTATGCACGTTCCTTGGTGTTATTATTATGACTTTTCTTCAAATTTTATGAAATGCTAATAAAAAAATAACAATAATAAAGAAAAACAAACCAAATGCCGGCAGACAAACAGACAGGCAATAATCGAAAGAAAACCCAAATAAAACGACAAGAAAATATTTGCGCCGCTTCGAGATTGTGAAAGGACAAGAAACTCGACGACGCGATATCTATGCAAACGAAAGGACGAAAAAAACAATGAAATCAATGTCAAATGTGAATGTTTGTATGTATGTATGTATGCGTCTATGTACATATATTTAAATATTATATAGGTCTTTGATGAAATATCTAAATGCAGAACAACAATATTGATGATATTGCGCCAAGACGCCAAGGTTTGGGTGACCTTTTTTTAAATAAAAAAATAGTATATGTATTTAACACGTCATCGTCATTTTCGAGAATATTTAAAATAGAATTCAAGAGAATTGGGCAGTAAATTATGATTTTCACAAAAAAAATCGCCTTAAAGTATGCAATATATTCTTGAATTCATGGAAATATTCGCTAATTTGCAGAGTCTTGATCACCTTTGTTATTATTTTTGAATCTAAAGTATGAACATATACATTAAAAACAAATAAAAAATCAGTTAAGTTTTAACGGGCCGAACTTTTTATAACCTCCACCATTCAGAAGGAACTTGAAAGTTTCAACAAAAAAAAAACTCCGTCAAAAAATATCGCTCAAATGAAAACCTTTATGTGGGGGCTATACGAAGACGAGGTGCTGGATAAGTAATTTTTTGTTATAGGCTGTAGTAACGATTCCGAACTTTAAATACGAAATTCGAAACAATTCCGATGAATAATGTCAATAATATCATCAAAATAAAGAATAAAGGGAGGTACCGTTGTATGAGGGCTATACTAAGATGTGGACCTGCCAAGACAATTTTCCGTTACAGGCTGTAGTACCTATAAGGAACTTCATAAACGAAATTTTAAACAATTTCTGTGAATATTGTACCTAAAATCATCTAAATACCGAATATAGGGAGGTACCGAAGGTATTTATAGGAAATTCCTTGTGTGGATTTTCAGACTATTCCACTGAAAAATGTGGCTAAAATTTTTGAAAATACCGAATATCGGGGGGCACTGTTGTATGGGGGATATACGCTATCGTTGACCTATATTGGGTATTCTCTTTCAGGTGGTAAAGAGCTCGCAGGGAACTACTTGAGTAGATTTTCAGACAATGCCATTGAAAAATGTGACTTAAATCATCAAAATACCGAATGTCGGAAGGTACAGTTATATTGGGGATATACGATATCGTGCACCAATATAGACAATTCTGTTTCAGGATGTAAAGTACTCAGAAGGAATGCCTTGTGTGGATTTTAAGCCAATTCCATTGCAAAAGAAATGTTATCTGATGGTAATGCGTGCGAATCAACCCCCATTCTTCTCCTTTAAAAAAAAATCGCCTAAAAATATGCAATGTATTTTTGATTTTCTTGAAATATACCCCAATTATGTGGAGTCTTGAATACCTTTATTATTATCCTTATTTTTAAAACTGAAGTACGAACAGACACATTAGAAAAGTAATATTTTAGTAGTGATTGCACGCCAACCCCCTTTCATCCTTACCAGACAGCTTTACACTCGCTAAAGGTCACCTATTTTTATAAAAATATATGTATTTAAAACGTTATCGTAAATTAGGAAATATTAAAAACAGATCTCTAGAGAAATAAGCTGTAAAAATGATTTTCAGAACAATTCGCCTGAAAGTATGCAATCAATTTTTTAATATTTAATTTTATTCAATATACAGCAATTTTAGAGAGTCTTAAAAACCTTCATTAATATTTTTCAAACTAAAATATGAACACATCCATTAGAAAAGTAATATTTTAGTGGTGAGTGCGCACCCACCCCTTCTTCCTCTCAATACTCAAGTCCTTTTTTTCTGCCATTAAATATCATATATGAATATGAAACACTTTCGCTTGATGTCAGAATAAAAAAGGGACAACATAAATATATTTCCAATCGCCTTGAGCCATATTTCTCATATAAAGTATATTAACAAAAAATGCAGATGTTATTTCCCCTCTCTAACTCCCCGCTTGTTGCAATGCCCGCAATAACACATTCATTACGGGCATTACAATTCACATTTGAAGACATAAAATGGACATACATAAAATAATGAAAAATATTTGGATATGATGAATATTAATATAAGAATGTGTTATTGTTCTGAAAAAAAAAAAAAAACAACCAACCTCCCCCCAGTATATAACTGGGTAATGCGCTTCATTGGACTTGGACTGCAAAACTCTACTAAAAAGATTCTGCCTACCACAATTCATTGGCGCATATATGTATATGAGGGTCCCTTCGAGACAGATGAATTGTCATCATCAAACAAAAATTCATATCGTATACTAAAACCTCACCCAA